CACGGCAAACTACTTGGTCTAACAAACCCCTTCGTGGTTAAATCTTCCAACTGCTTTATAAGCTCCTCTATCTCCGCTGGCGCAAGGCGATAAGGTGCCTTAGAAACTGGAGCGGTCCCGGGTTCTAACTCGATCGTCATCTCGTCTCCCCTAGACGGCGGTAGCCCTTGCAATGGCTCGAAAACATCCGTAAACTCCTTTGCCACTGGAATCATTGCCAACTCGACCTCTTCGCTCTTATCTGCTACCGTTATTGTTGCGAGGTATGCATCATTCCCCTTGTCAATTAGGTCCTCTGCGCGAATCATAGAGATGACCGGGATTCCGCTTTGCGCCCTGATCCCTTGGAATACTAATTTCCCTTCTGATCTGCCAAAAATCACTTGTGCTCGCACACATTCCAATATAGCCTGGTGGCGTGTCAGCCAATCCATTCTGAGAATCACTTCATAGCGCCCCAACTTCATCTCCACAAGATCTCCGGGCAACTCCACGCCTTCCATCGTTACCGGGACGTCCTTATAAGTCCCCTGCATCCGGACCGCTTCTTTACCGGCGGTTTCGACTCTCCTAGCCTTTCGGGTAAACTCTCCGCGGAAACTCCAAACCTTTGCCAAATCGGGGCTAACAAAGCTATGTGTTGCGCCCGAATCGAACAGGGTGTAAGCTGTCGTTCCACCGACAGAAACCGACCCTACACAATTTATTACTTAAACTTTCTAACATCCCGCAACCAACACACATGCAGAATTTATGTACTTCCAACAATTAGAGGATGGTGAATAAAATAACAACTTACCCGCAATCGGCTCGCCTCCTTCCTCCTCGACGGTTGCCGCGAACACCCGAGGTCCTATTGCCTGCCTCTTTGGTGGTCGTGGTAGGGGCGCACCTCTGTCTCGGTTTCCTTGCTGATTTGTTGGGCAATACCTTGACACGGGTCCCGGACAGCTACATAGATAGCAAAGTTCCTCTCTGCTCCTGCAACTCGCCCTCGTGTGCCCTTGCTTACCACACTTGTAACAATAAAGCGGCTCCCCAGCACGAACCGGTCCCATGAAACGGTTATCTTGAGCACGTCTTTGCGGCTCTACCACTCTCCCTGTCTGCACTTGACTCCCTTTTACCTGCTTAGCCTCCTCCTCAATTTCCTGCTCCATCAAGGCGGCTGTCTCCACCAAGTCGATCATGCTAGTAAATGGTCGTACCCTGCAACGGTTTCTTATCTCCAGCCTTAGCCCCCTCATGAATTTCCCAACAAGGTCTCTTTCACTCAGATTCCTCCCAGCGAATCTTCTTAAACGGTGAAACTCCTGGTCATAATGATGAACCGTCTTAGTTCCTTGCACCAAGTCCGCAAATGAACCCTCCATCTTTTCCACGGCCTTCTGGGGAAAGTACTTCCTCACGAACTCATCCCTGAAGTCAAACCAGCTAAAGTCATAGTCGTCGGGTGCCTCTTCTTCCACGCCCTCCCACCAGGTTTGAGCGTCATCTCTTAGATAGAAAACCGCTATCTCCCTCTGATACTCCATCGGACACCTGATAGTCGAAAAATTCTTTTCCAGCAGCTTTCTCTAATTGTCCGCGACGAGTGCATTCGTCCCTCCGCTGAATGTTTCCATACTCAAGTCTTTCATCATTGTGAGCGCTCGCCAGTGCGCGGGCTCCTGGTCCCTTCCCCGCATAACTCCTCTCTCGCGCCCATGCTCACGCCTGTCCTCACGTTCACGTTCACGCTCCTCTCCACGTTCAGGTTCCTGATCCTGCCTCCCCGGTGGTGGTGGAGGCAAATCCTGACGCAGCGCTGCAACTCCTGGCGCTTGCTGCTTAGCTGCGGCCACTCCTGGAATGGGAATCTGTTGCAACAGTGGGCCAAGCAACTCTCGAAGGCCTTGCAGCAGCATCCATCGCCTGTGGAACACCAGCTGGTGCTTGAACCTGCTCCTGACCTGCACCGGTCATACTCCCAGTCGACTCAGTCGGAGTTTCAGCTTGGACATTCCTGACAACTTTTCGGTTTCCTCTCTTAGGGGCATCTGCATTAACAAACACTTGAATCAGATCATGGCTTCTCAAAACAGAACAAACTCAAAGCACAACCTAGTTCAAGCTATCGTGGTGGTGTCTCCCCTTTCTCTAAATCATTTTTTTTAAAACAAAAATCCATTTTTATTTTTTTGAAACCGTCCGCCTTTGAAAATCGGCCCTCCGGGTCAGAACCGGAGTAGCACCTTACACTCTGATACCAAAAAATTGTAACACCCGTCTCGCTGGTCTAGCCGAGTCGATCACCACACTCCACTTTTATAACTCAAACCGTAACAAAATAACTTATATAAACGCTCCATAATAAATTCATAAACTTCATTAAATTATTAAATGCGTTTCAAATACTTAATGTCATAAATCCGATAAAATAAATAAATGCGCAGTGGTCTTTAAATAAAATAATAGAGTATTAAATAATAGTTTAAAAATAAAACTCTGAAAATCCCGGGAGTGTGGAAACGTAATACCACCTCTGAAGATCACTTGAACCGCTACTCTTCTTGCTCACCTGCATCCGTAAAAGGAGGCATGAGTAACCAAAGTCACTCACTGAAGACGATCACGTCTGCCCACATGATCCACAAAACCCGACTATACGACTAAATATACCTACACTTAACCCCAAAATAAACATGCATGACTGACTCCACGAAAACGGCAAACACCTAGCTCCACCCGAGCTAAGACCACACAACATGTGCTATGCACATGGACAACCACACGTCAGTTTCCGCCACACCGAGCGCCCGCGGAAACATAACGTCAACACCACATCCCGAAGGATAAATCTCCCCTGTCCCAAAGGACTTGAGTCCACCTGACTCAACCCGCCACGTTGAGCGCCCGCGGTTGTTTCCGGCTTCCTAGCTAACCGCTAATGAACCATGACGCAATCATCACTTATTGCCATGGCCCAACATGCAACAACTTAGCTTATTCAACTAAGTTGTATGACTCCACCAAACATGAATTCTAATTCATGCATCAAACAATATAATACAATATACTATAATATTTATTTTACCACATAACAAGAATTAACACATAATTTCTAACCATCTAACATCACCGATAATTCACTCATACAATTTATTTCTAAGCCAGGTGTAACATAATTAATAATATAACCACATTTTATAAATTCACAAATCACGCCTCACCTTAACGAAAACGGACTGGTAAATGTGATTTGCGGGTTCTAGAAGTCCTCTGTCCACTATCTCTCTCCTACCTAAAAATAGCCTTTTTCCCCACTGAACTTTCTGCTTTCTTTATAGTCCCTAGGTTTCTCTCTCGCTCCCCTTTTTCTTTTTCTGCTTCTTTTCTCTTTTTTTTTTCTCTTCTCTCTTCCCCTTTCCCGATAATTCTTTCCCTCTTTTACTCTTTTTCTTCTTCCCCCGACTTCTTCCCTTCTTCTCCGGCGAATACAGGCAACTCCGGTCGATGATTTTGAGTGGCTGAATTCAGCGGCGGCGGCGACTCCTCTGACCGACAGTCTCTGCTGGCGACTGAATCGGACCCGTGGATAGGTAATGACGATGGTTCCTCTCCGCGGCGGCGATTGGCTCTGATTTCCGATGGGATGACGACGGCGGCTCTCTCAGATGGCGGCGACAACTCTAGCTCTCTCTCTGATTCACTCGGGATAACAGCGGCGCTCCGCTTCCTCTTATAAGTGATGACAATTTTTCTAGTTCGGCTCGGTTTACTGGTTTTGGGCTCGGGATCGTGGACTTTTTGGTTTAATTTCGGATCCTGGATGTCACACTGACGATCTTTCCTATCTGCTTCTGTACCTCAACCCCGTCGGTATTACTCACTTTTTGTAATTTTGTAATATTTCTTACAGTTTTTCGATTTGATGATTGAATCGCAGATAGTTTGTTGCTGCTTATGTATATTCTTCAATCATATGTGGAGATTGAGGAGGTCAATTCAAATTCACTACACTCCATAATTGATCAACATATAAAAGGAATGATTCAAATTGGAGGGAAACTGGCGGGTTTGATCTTAACTGTTTGAGCATTTGCAAGAGTGAGATGAAGAAGATTCAGAAGAAAATGAATATTGGATTTCATAAGCAGGTAGATATTCTTTATACACCTGCTATTATATAAATATGCAGCACAAGGATGAATTTTCCATATATATATATATATATATGTTGATAATGAGCCAATATCATTTCCAGTATATATATACATACAATCTGTATTCCTGCAGTATATATCATTTCCTTTCTCTGAACTCTGTGTAAGTTCCAGCGTAGCTGCAGCGTTCGCAGCTCCCATGGTTCATTAATCCATTCTGTTTCTCTTACCTTGTACCAGGTTAAAGGTTGCTTCTTGGCCACCAATGTTCCTTCTTTCCATTCCACGTAGGAACTCCCCGTTAAGGTGATTATAGCCTTGAGATTTGATTGGGTCACAACTCACTATCTCTTTAATGTGGTTTAATCATTCAACAACACAAACCTTAACGATTTATTGGTGAATAATATATTTAGGAGTGACATTGCTGTAACAAAAGTGTCATAGAAGATTGCCAGGTCGTCATTGCCTTTCTCTTTGCACGCTTTCAGATATTTAAATTGACAAAGCTTTGAACTTTATATTGTTTGAATGATATGTTATTGATTGTATGTTCATATTACTATGAAGGAACCCCTGCGGATTGTACTGGTTTGGGATTATCGGAAGCACTCTTCCCTTCTCTTCCTGACCTGGTAACCACATTTTACTCCACAATTTTAAAAGTGATCCCACGGAGTCTCACTAAAAAATTGCAAACTGATTTATATGATTAAAGAGAAGAATTAAAGAGAAGAAAAGAAAAGAAAAGAACGACAACATTTTGGAGTGGAGAAGGATTAAAGAGAAGCTTCTTAAATCTAAGATTTAGTGGTGAAGAGTCGTGGGGAAGAAGAAGAAAAACAAGAGGTGGTCATGTTCATTGTATGATGTTTTGCTTGTGGACATAATGGAGTTAGTGAAACTGTTTCAGTTGATTCCAAAGACTAGGAGAAAGCGAACGTCTCCGCCTAAGATGTCTGTAACAGATCTGGTCTAAACCTTCTCCCTCTTGGGATGTTAAAATTCTAGTACTTTGTCAGCATTTCTTTAAATTTCTAGCCTTGTGTTAGGATTCATAAGCCTTTCAAAATCTGTTCTATCCGTTTTCAGCCTTTACTCCCCAGTTTCTACATCAGATCTGCCCATGGCTCACCCAAATGGGATCCTCAAGCGTTTATCTCACTCAGCTGATACTAATTTCGGTCTCTATTTTACGGAGATAGAAACTTGAGAGTATATCACAGATCTGTTCAAGGCTCATCCAATCTGTAGGATCTGTATCCGAGAAAATTAGAAGTAATCGAGTTGGACAGGACATTGTCCGAGGGATGATCGAGCCAAGTTCAGATATTGGCTGGAAACTGGGAGGTTCAGACTATGGTTGGATGATGACTGAGAAATAGTCGATGGATGGCTGGGATAGCCGAGCTGGATGGACCATATCCGAGAGAAAATGGTCTAGACCGTGAGAAAATGGGGTTAGTCCAAGTGACAGTGGACTCTATCTGGGTGAAAAATGGAAAATGACCAGACAGAAGGGAAATAACTCGGATAAAGGTGGTTTATCCGAGGAGAAAAGGAAATAGCCGAGGGAAGCTGGGTTGGGCCGTGGGCCAAGCGTGTTAGGTCGGCTGAAACGTGGCTTATCACGCGGATGGTAGAGTTTGGTACGGGTGATAATTGAGAAAATCTAATCGGATCGGAATAAATCCTATTGGAACTGGGAAACATCGGTTTACTCCGAGTTACTTAGGGTTTTACGAGTATATAAGGAGTTTTCGAGACTTGGCTTAGGGGTGTTGCGTTTATTTAAGATAAATAAAGCAAAGAGAGAGTTTAGTCGAGAGAAAACCCTAGAAAAGTCAGTTTATCCCGAGGATAGCCGAGAGAGATTGAGCGGACGCCTACAGATCTGACCATCGCCGAAATAAACCGGTAAGCGATCGGATATTTACCTTTGTGTCGAGTTTCCATCTGATAAGCTTGGGCTAATAGACGTGCTTTCTGGGATTTCCGAGGGTAAACAGAGTTTGGGGTGATCGGATATCTTCGTTTCCACGGGGATTTCATGGGATTTCTTCTGACGAATATGTTTCCAACCTTGTCTAAGGTGAGTGCGTGACTGTGGCTGGTGTCTAAGATCGTTGGATTGCTAGGGTTTGATGTTTTGCATATTTGATTGTGTGATTTTCATGTTGTGGGCTTAGAAACTGATAAGCGATTATATGTTATGGTATTGTGAGGTGTTTACCGTGGCATAGATGATGTCTAACTAACTTCAGGGTAATCTGGATCATGTACTAGCTTAGGGGATGTGGAATTCTTGCTGAAGTAGACATGAGTCTTAAAAAATGATTGATCTTGGGCGGTTAGGTTAGATGATCATGGCCGTTTGATATATGTTATGTCTATTGCGAATTGATTGTGGCAGTATGAGACTCGGTTTAACCAGCTGAGGAAGTACGTGGCCCATGAGTTTGATATGGAGGAGAAGCTGATTCGTAGGTTCATGAGCGGACTGCGAGTTGAGCTAAGGAATGGATGTGTGGTCCGTGACTTCAGGACAATGGCCGAGCTGGTTGAGAAGGCGGCATTGTTAGAGTCAGGACAGGTGGAAGCTGCTTTGATGACAGCTGGGGCAGGGACAACCATGGCCAAGGCAGGTTAGTCTAGTGGTCAGAACCAGAATTTCGGGAAGAGTGTACCAAGCAAAGGGACCGGGGGACGCAGCATGTGCAGCAAGTGTGGCAAGGCTCACGTTGGCAAGTGCAGATGCGGTGGTAGTGGATGCCATATGTGCGGGAGTTTAGAGCATCGGGTACAAGACTGTCAAGAGGAGGATCTGCGAGTGGGTCGTGTGTCCAGCAGTGACTATGCGGTTCGAGTGTGCTACGTATATGGAGAACCGGGGAATTTTAAGCATGAGTGTCTTAAGGCATGCGTGGTGGAGCAAGCTGTGTCGCAAGGGAAGTGAGCAGGGGAGGCGCTTGCATCCCAGGCCAAAAGACAGGCCATCATGCCAAGGGTGTATACGATGAGTGCAGCAGCTGACGAACCGAGCTCATCCGATTACTGGTACGTGTGGTACATACAGTTTTTCTTGAATTGCTTTTTTCGTGTTGTGTTAGTATAGTGTCTTAGCATTCTAGGGAATGAATGTGTAGGGTGTTAACTCATTTTTTACTGTGTAAATACAAGCACGAGAGGCTATTAAACTCAAATGCAAGACTAAGATGTAGTATAGCATGCAAGTGAGGTATCAATCCACACCTAGGGGTAGCAAGTTCACTAAGAATGCAAGGGAATGAGCAAATCTAAGCGAAAATGATAAATGATTGGTAAAATCCTTAAAAACTAAATGCAAGTGTCAAATGCAAAGCGAAACAATTTTAAAATCCATAGAAGAGGGTTAACTACCATGAGGAACAAGCGGAATAACAAAAATGAAAAGCTATAAAAAATTAAAAATTGACTAGTGGATCGACCACCGGATCGACCACCGGATCGACCACTAGATCGAGTAATATGGATCGATCTCGTCTAACAACTTAAAATGATGAATGATGCGATGGATTAATGAACAAGATGCAAACTTTATGATGACAGAATGATAAGTAGAGGTTTAAAACACTAAGAGAGAGGGTCTAGGGTTGAGGGTCATATTCGTGGGTCTCAAAGATTAAAGTATGGTTTGAAAACGTTGGATCTACTCTTTTAAGAGGTTCTCTAGGTCTTGAAAACAAAACAAGACCCATCCATGGCATGTGGTATGGGTCACTTCCTCAATCTCTTCTGCAAACCCATGGCTTTTGGTGGAAAAAGAGATCGAAGAGCTTGGAACACAGATTTCAAACAAATGACCTAACTAATCCCCTAAACAACCATGGCATGTGGGAAAGGAAGGATTAGCCTCTAGGATCTGATTTTCCAGGACATCTGAATCCTGTCAAGGTAAGACAGCCCTTGGATCATAGAGATCTTGGCGTGAGATTCTCTAAGCCTTAAGTACTCAAGATCATAGAAGAGAAAGTAATGAAGAACAAGAAAACTCAAAGCTTTAACCTTTTTGACCCTTTCGAATCACCTCAACCCATCAACCCAAATGAAACTACTCGCTACACATAAAGAAAACCGAACAGAATGCAGAAGATGATTTACTAGACATGATTAACAATTGATTAAAGGCAATAGGTTCGATATTCAAAGTGAAAAAAGCAAGAAAAGTTTGAAGTTCTACAATGGCAGATTCACCTAAAAACGAGAGAGAGCGAAAAGGTAAAGAGACAGAATGAAGATAATGAAAGGGATGGCTGCGTTTTGCCAAAAATGGCCAAACCGCAAATGGTCCCCCTTCGCTACAGTCCTAATCCAGCTGGAAGGATAAGGTTAGTCTGGGATCGACTCGGGTCACTCGATCTCTGGCTCGATCTTCTCTTGGATCAGATGACTTCGGTCGATCTCTGAGTCGATCCTGTGTCGATCGTGTTGGAAGCTCGATCTGGTTCTCGATCTGCATGGCGTCAATTACGTCCGTGCTCCAGATCGATCTCCTCTCTCGATTTCGATCTCGATCCTTCCTCTTGAATCGCCTTAGTGCACTCGATCTTCTGGTCGATCTTTTTCTTGATCGTCCTACCTTGCTCGATCTGCTACTCGATCTCAGGTACTTAGCACGCACTCCTGAATTTTCCAAGTGTCCACGAGCTTCATCACGAGCCTTAGCACGTCCACGAGTTCTCCAAAGCTCAAAAGTGTCCAAAAACAACTTGAATATGATTCTAGAAACATGCGAATGCTAGTGCAAAAGTGCTCTAGACCCTAAAATGGTGCAAACTAGCCTAATATGCAAGGTGAATACATGAGAAACTATCCTAAATGCATGCAAAATACACAAAATATATAGTAATATCAACTCCCTCAAACTTGCCTTTTGCTTGCCCTCAAGCAAACAAAATTCAAAAAGGGAGAGAAGTTTTAAAAATGGGGGTTTAAGCTTCTTGCAAAGGTGCTTTTCAAATGAATCATTTCAAAGGTCCTAGTTCTTAACTCTAAAATGCAATGCACACACTCATACTCCAAAGAACTTAGCCATACTCATCACACAATGAATTTCAAATCATGACTCTCCTATTCCAATCAATCAAAGAATCTTATCCTTTAACATTCATTAATGATCAAACCGTGAATCACACTTATGCATTTTAAAGCCGAACACATTTGGTTAAGGACAAAGGCTATGGGACTAGAATGATCTCATTTAAAAAGGGTTTTATAATGCAAAGGGTTTCTCTCAAGAAGGGTAAGAACTTATGCATAATGCTAAAGGTAAAGACAATTGATGCATACATAATTAGACTCTCATCTACCCATGTATACTAACAATGATCCTAAAACCCCTCTCATTTCTTTTCTTTTTAGCTCACTCACCCTCCTAGATACTACCCTTATCACCAAAACAATTCGCTTAGCAAAAATCCAAGTTAAAATAGAAAGCATCTTTACTCTTTTAGGCTAGCGGAAAGGCTAAAAACATTTTTAGCTCTTTACTTTTCTTATTGATAGCTCTCTACTTATTATTTTTTTTATTTTTCTTTTCTTTTTATTTGGCACTTAGGCTCTTTTCTTTTCTTTTTCTTTTTTTCTTTTATTTGAGAGCTATCTTCTGAAATATACTTAGAGCTTTTCATTTTGAAAACACTTCAAACACCAAACTCTTTTGAAACCGTAAACAATTAAGCAAATAAACAATCCCAATGAACCTCAAACCTAACCTAAGCCTAAAAACTAGCTTCAAAATGCAAAGCTAGCAATCAAATGAGAGCCTAATCATGTCGCCTAGACCTAACACTTTATGCTAAGTTCAAACCGAAAAGAGGCCTCATAATGATATCACACAAGAACATTTGGCTTGAAAGAAAGGTAAGGGTTATGGTGGGAGTTCTACTTAGGCTCACAAGAGAGTGGTGAAAGGAGGAAGAGAGCCTAAATATG